TAGACCAAAAGAAAACCTAAGAAAGTTAAGTAAAAAAAAGTATGCTTTAGTCTATATTCAGACACCATCAGTTCTTTCTTTGGGGATAGATAACATTTTTCATCATAAGTCCTTCAGAGTTGTCTTTGATCGTTGAATTGCAGAAAATAACTAAGTCATTCACAGCTGATCATCTTACAATATTGTTCTTCGTACTTTGTACACAGTACATTTCACTTTGCATTAGCTCATGCAAGTCTTTCCAGGTTTTTCTGAGAGTATCCTGCTCATAATTTCTTATAGTACAATAGTATTCCATCATAATCACATACCACAACTTGTTCAGCCATTCCCTAATTGATGGGCATCCCCTCAGTTTCTAACTCTTTGCCCCCAGAAAAGAGCTGCTACAGCAAGTATCTAGTAAGCACCTACTATGTGGTAGACACAAGGGCTACAGAAAGAGAGCAGCCTTTGCCCCAAGGGGGCTTACAGTCACTGGGGGGAAAATATTCATACACATAAATATATGTATGTATGCACACACAGATAATAGAAATTAAGATGGGGGGAAGGCAGAAAGGTACTTTTGTTAGGAGATGACAGACAACCTGAGCCATGAAAATCATTAGGATTTTCAAGAAAAGACTGGGACGGGAAAAAAAAGACTGGGAGGGAAAACGTTCTCAAGCTTGGTGGGACCTGCCTATGCAAATGCATGAAGGTGTAGAATGGAATTTCTTAATGATGGGAAATGGGCTTTTCTCTCACCTAGGAACTAAGGAAGTGGCTTCAAAAGAGTTTCCTACTGAATTAGAGACCTTTATTCAGATTGCAGAGTGAAGTAAGCCAGAACCAGGAAAACAATTTAAATAATAATATGGCAAAAGTAAACAACTTTGAAAGACTTAGGTCAGATTAACAACCATGATTCTAGAGGACCAGTGATGAAACATGCCTCCCACCTCTTGATACAAGTGATGGGTATTATTTATAGATACATGTGTATGTATATGATTTGTAGGTATATATATAATTTCATATTTTATAAATTTTATGTTTTGAAATTTTATAATATATAAAACATGTATATACACACACGTATATAAACAATTTCTTTTGCTTGATTTCGTATTTGTTACAAGAGATTCATTTTTTTTCTTTTTTCCAATGAGGAGGGAATGCAAGGGAGAGAAAATAAATTTTTGTTCATTGAAAAAAAAATTTGGGGGGGGGCAGCTAGGTGGCTCAGTAGATGTAGCACTGACCCTGGAGTCAGGAGGACTTGAGTTCAAATGTGGCCTCAGACACATAATACTTCCTAGCTGTGTGACTCTGGGCAAGTCACTTAACCCCAATTGCCTCACAAAAAAAAAAAAATTTAATTTGCAGATGGGAAATTAGAGGTGTAGCCCCTGGTTTAAAATAATGAGTCAGTTTTGAAATTACTTTCTGAGAAGGGGGAGAGGCGATACTAGCCAGTGTGTTTCTGGAATGCTTAGTTTGGGGTACATCTCACATCTGGATTATTTTGTTGATGAATTGCAGTGTATCCAAAGAAGGGTTATCAAGGAAATGAAGGGCCTAGAAACTTTGAGGGGGAGAGACTGAAAAAATTGGAGTTGTATAGTCAGAAAGGAGCATGATGTGGACTGGTAGACAGGATTGCTAGGTGCAAGAAGGACTGACTGATGGAATAAGACTTAGACTGGAGTCAGAGGAGTCCTGAGTTAGAATCCTGCCAAGCTCTGCCACCATCTGTGTGAAATGTGAGCCACTTCCCTCTGTGGGCCTCAGGCTTCTGTAGGATGAGGACGTTGGAATCGATATGGTCTCTAAAGTCTCTCAGCTCTAAGTCTCTGAGCCTATGATTTCTTCTGTATTACTTTAGAGGGCAAAAGTGGTACCAGTGAATGGGTATTACAGGGAGGCAGGCCTCAGGTCAACATTAAGGAACAACTTTGTAAGAGCCAGATGGGGTAAGCTGCTTGGGCAACCTAGGATAGGAAGGATTCATACAAAGGCTGGCTGATCATTTGTCAAGCAGGGTATGGAGGGGATTCCTGGGCTGAGTAGGCCTGGCTTCTAAAACCCTGTCCAAATGAAGTTTCCAAAATTCTATCACTGGTTTCCCAGCACCACCACTTCTTCTTTTTGCCTGGAAACATGGGCTCAGTACAAGGCAATGAGGTGATTTTCAGAACTACAGTGAAAATTAAAAAAAAAAAAAACTACAGTGGATGCCCTGAGAAGACATCCCAGGGGGTTCTGTTACCTCCGTCCGCCCGCCCACCACCCCCATGCTGGGCTGTAGCAGCTAGTCACATAGAGCTGTGAGGCAGGTGTTCCGTCAAAGCTTCCAGCTGTTGCTAATTAGCAAGTTGGAATGTTAGCCTTTCCCTATCAATATCTGCTTCCCTGCAACCCTGTGAGGCCTCATTGTACCCCTTCCTCCCCAGTTCCCCAATTGACTGGCTGCAAGGTGAGAGTGAAGAGGAAAAGGATGTGATACTCACCACAAGAAAAATGGCAATCCAATTCCCAACCAACAAGTCTTTACTGAAGCCTACAATATGCATAGCACATCCCCAGGGCTATAACGAGGGTAGAGTGACTGGGGCTTTGCTTCAGGGTGATGGCATTTTCAGTCTTTCAGCAGCCCAAGAAATAACAACTGAACACCTAATAAGCAAGAATAATTAGTTTGAAGCAGTAAGCTACGAAATGACACCTCCCTATAGCTGTGGCAGCCCCAGTTGGGTTTCCTGAAGAGTGTCTGCCCCATCCCTCCTTCAGATGAACTTGTCTTAAAAGTTGATTTGAAGTTGTGCTTTGTACCTCTTGTCCCAGGTATAAAAACTTAGTTACAACTCTGTACATCCACAGGGGATAGTCCTTACGCTCGAGGAATTTACAAGCTGAGGATAAAAGACATTAATATAAATGGATGCATAATATTTCAATGGGTCTATGAGAGAGAGAACCTTTGAGGTTTATAAAACACTCCAAATATCTCATTTTGATCCTCACAACAATCCAAGGAGGTAGGTGATATTATATAGGACCCCCATTTTACTGATGAGGAAACTGGGGCAAATAGAGGTTAAGTGACTTGCCCAGGGTCACATAGCTAGTAAGTGTCTGAGGACAGATTTGAACTTAGATCTTCCTGACTCCAGCCCAGAGCTCTATCCACTGCATCACCTACCTAGCTTCCACAGTGGGCGTGGAATATTGCACACAGTATCTTACTTAGTGGATGTTCTAGTTAATTTTACTGAACTGTTTTCCCCTTTCTTCATTCTTTGTTATAAGGGATGGGAAGGGGAAGGATATATTGGGGAAATGTAGGTGAAGGAAAAATAAGCGGTATCAAAAATTACATTTTTAGAAAAGATTTCGTGGAGGTAGAAATCGAACTGGGTAGGATTTAGGTAGTGGGCAGCTAGGTGGTGCAGTGGATAGAGGACAGGATCCAGAGTCAGGAAGATCTGGGCTCAAATCTGGCCTCAGACACTTACTAGCTGTGTGACCCTGAGCAAGTCACTTCACCCTGTTTGCCTCAGTTTCCTCATCTGTAAAATGAGCTGGAGAAGGAAATGGCAAATTGCTCCAGTACCCTCGTCAGGAAAACCCCAAATGGGGTCAGGGAGAGTTGGACACAGCTGAAACGACTCAGCAACTGCAGGATTTAGGTAGAAGGAAAGGGAAAGACTCAGAGGTAGAAAAGCTCAAATCAGAATGTGAGTGTTAGGGGGCCAGTCTTGCTGGGACAGAAGGTTCAGTAGGTCACCAGATCACAGATTTAAAGTTGGAAAGGACCTTACACCATCTAATCCAGTCTCCCCATTTTGTAGAAGAGGAAACTGAGGCCCAAGGAGGTCATGATTTGCCTGAGGTCATACAGGCACAATCCTAAGTGTCAAAAGTGGAATCTGAGCCTAAGTCCCATTGTAGGAGGCAGGTAGGCGGTGCAGTGGGTAGAGAACTGGGCCTGGAGTCAGGAAGATTTGAGTTCAAATCCAGCCTCAGAGACTTACTAGCTGAGCGACCCTAAGCAAACCTCTGTTTGCCTTAAACCACAGGAGAAGAAAATGGTAAACCACTCCAGTATCCTTGCCAAGAAAATCCCCCAGACAGCTGCTGTGCTATGGTCCATGGGGCCACGAAGAGCTGAACACCACTGATTAACTCAACAACAACCCTTTGTAGTAGAAGGTTGGGGTAGGATAACTGTGCTTGTGAGCTACTGATGTGGGCTTCACCCCCTGCTTTCACTGGGATGAAGTATAGGGAAAGGAGACCCAGAGAGGTCAAAGATGACTTTAGGAGGAAACCATCAAAATATAGCATGCCCCTTCAGCTCCAAGGATCTAACGAGGCCCAGAGGCTCCGTCCATGGGGTCATTCTGCCAGCCAGCGTGGGCCTTTGCAGCAAAGCCCCTTTGGCTGCCCACAAAGTTTCCTTCTTACTATTCTTTGCAGTCTGCTCTCCCTTCTCATCTCTGCTCTCTGGCTTCTGGAAGAGGTCAGAGAAGACTCCGTTCAGATCTCACCGAAGGGTCTACAGGACACCCTTCCCACTCCCCCTTGCTGCTTGTGTCTTCTGTCTGAAATCATCTTCCACTTAGAGTACTCATCTCACATGTACAGATGTTGAGTCCCCATTAGAATGTCAGCTTCTTGAGGGCAAGGGCTAACTACCCTTTGTTTTTCTTGGTATCTCCAGCATTTAGCACAGTGCTTGGCTCAAGGTACATACCTCATAAATGCTAGTTGACTGACCAACACCCCAGGCTCTCCCATCTCAAAGAAGGGACCTCCCCACACCCACACCCACAACTATATCCCTGACTATTTGGGTAAGTCCTAAGGCTTTCTTGCCAAAAATGAAGCATGAGGCCCTGTGTGATGGTAATGAGTAGTTTTGGGCCTAGACGAGTGAGAGATGCCCCAGAAAACTGGGGAACTGAGGTTGTCCATGAGGCACCAGAACCCTCCCCCCACATACCTGTTACCAGAGTAATAGGCAGTGTCCATAAAATCAGATGGCTTCCTGCTCTTCTATCATCTCAGAACTAGGTCTCGTGGAGGACAGCATGGCACAGAGGGTAGAAGGCGGCGGCTGTGGAGTCAAGAAGACTTGAGTTCAAATCTAGAATAGATACCATCTAGTTATGGGACACTGGGAATGCTCATAACTTGACATCTCTCACTCTCAGCTTCCTCCTCTGTAAGAGAGAGATAATATCTACCAGCCAGAGTTGTCGTAAGGATCAAATGAGATAACATATGTGAACCTTAATGCAGTATATAAATGCCATCATCATCATCATCACCATTATTTTTATTATAGGGGAAAACAGGCACCTGAGAGAAGAGGGCTGAGCATTCTTCAGATTTTCCCCATCATCGCTACCCTGTGGTCTGTTTTCCTCCCGAGTTCCCACTCCTAGAGCAGCCATGCAGCATCTCTGAGAGTCAGACTTATCTTGGTTACCATGGTGATGCAAATGCAAAGGGGCCAGGGAAAATGCCAAACGGCTCCTGTGAAAGACTGTGTCACAGACATGGCGGAGACTGGCTAATTGGGAGGCCAGAAAAGCAGGATCAGCCTGTGAACCCCTCTCTTATCTGACGCTTCAAAGACAAGGGTCCTTTGAGGAGGGGGATGAGGAGAAGGCTAATGAGTTACAGAGAAGTTGTGAAGGAGGGAGAGGCCTTTGCACAAAAACCTCCCACCCCCAACAGCCTCCTCCACCTCCAACCCCCATCCGTACAGCGTGGGAGCAGAGCCCAGAGAAAGCCCGTGGGTATGAGGACAGCTGCTTCCCAAACTGACACAATGCTTGCACATAGTAGGTGCCCAATCAATGTTGACTGACTGGTGTAGGAGGGAAGGCAGTTTTAGGGAGTGAGCAAAGCTTGTTTGGGGCCTCATCCAGCTCCCCTTGCAGAATCTCTGGCCCTGTGTGCCCACCCGCCACCCCCTACCCCGGCAGCCAGCACCTGAGTCAGGATAAGCCCACGTTTCCCTACAGCTTTTAGTCTCTCAGTCAGCAAGCATCAAAGTGCTCGCTATGTGTCAGGCACCATGCTAAGGGCTGGGGATTAAAAAAAAAAAGGCATCAACAGCCCTTTGCTTCAAAGAGCTCACACTCCAGTGGAGAGACAACATGCAGACAGCTATGTGTAAATTAGATCTATGCAGAGAGGATGGAAGGAACATCTCAGAGGGAAGGCCCAGCAGTGGGGTGAGAGTGGGGTGAGCCAGGATCTGGAAACCAGGAAAACTCCCTGGGATCTGAGCTGGGTCCTAAAGGATGCCGGGGGAGCCAAGATTAGCAAGAAACGGGCTTGCTGGGAGAGGGCCATGGGGAAGGGGGAGGAAGGAGATGTAGTGTTGTGTTTAAGGAACATCCAGTAAACCAGTGAAACTGGGATTATACAGTGCGTGAGTATGGTACACATACATGGTACACACTGTAAGAAGACTGGAAAGGTAGGAAGGGGCCAGGTTGTGAAGTTTTAAATGCTAAACAGAAGATTTTCTATTTGATCCCTGAGATAATAGGGAGCCAGTGAAGTTTATTGAGGGAGGGAGAAGGAGAAAGGATTATGTTTTATCATAAATCCTTGGAGAGTAGCTAAAGTGGGGCAGCGAGTCCGGAAGACTTGTGTTCAACCTCTCCCCAACCCCCGTCCCATACTGGCTATGTGACCCTTTCCAAGGCATCACCTTTCAGCAAGCAGTATTCCAAAACTTCGTGTTATTGGTGGGATTACCTTGGTAGAGGGCTTTCCTCACTGGCAGTTCCCTATATCACAGGTCCAGTGGGGAGAGAGGAGGGAACAAACTTCATCACAACCCTGGGAGTTAGATAGCATAAGTGCTGCTAACCCTTTTTTACAGATGAGGAAACTGAGGCTCAAAGAAATTTTGAATGACTTGCCAGTGGTCACATCGTGTTGCCCACTAGTTGACCAAGGTGTACTCAGACCTATCCAGTCCTTATTCCCTTATCCACTGTTGAACCACAGTAGAAGGTTCTGGGAGGTAACTGTAAGACTAAATTTACACTGAGGTGCTAATGACCAATAATTACTTAATGTGTTACCCGTCAAAGCTATATTTGCATTTTTAAAAAGAGACAGCTGGAGGCTGTCTAGGGCAACATTTCTGGCATCAGCTTTGAGCGAGGGATCTTCCCTTTTTTTATGTCATGGATCCCTCTGGTAGTTCAGGGAGAGTCCTTCCCAGAACATTGTTGATGTCGTTGATTTTAATTCATAATTGAAGAAAATGCTAAATTTCAGCTAGAGGTTAGTGAAAATAAAGATGTAATTTTTTTATGGACCCCAGATGCAGTGAGACTAAGTTTTAGTGCCTTAGTAAGATAGTAGGAATAAATTTGTCAACAGCATAAATGACTCCATTTTTTAGCCTCCTTTTTATGATCGAGCCCTTTTGAATAAATTGTTTTTCTAGAAGTTGTTTTTCTTTTCTTTTTTTTTTTTTTTAGGCAATTGGGGTTAAGTGACTTGCCCAGGGTCACACAGCTAGTAAGTATTAAGTGTTTGGCCTGAGGCCGGATTTGAACTCAGGTCCTCCTGACTTCAGGGCTAGTGCTCTATCCACTGCGCCACCTAGCTGCCCCTAGAAGTTGTTTTTCAAGAATAAGAGAAGTGCCCATGTTGTAGGATAGAGTGAACAACATGCATGTATTCTTAAACCATTGAAAAACATAAATGTAACCTCTGATGGGACAAACCACCAATGAAAAAGTATTATAAACAACTTTATCAGTAACTTTGAAGAAAACTACCACTCAAATTATGGGGTAAACAATGTAGAAACACCCATTTTATTGTTGTTGTCATTTTTCAGTAGTGTCCAACTCTCCACGACCCCATTTGGTGTTTTCTTGGTAGAGATACTGGAGTGGTTTGCCATTTCCTTCTCCATCTCATTTTACAGACAAGGAAACTCAGGCAAACAGGGTTAAGGTACTTGCCCAGGGTCACAGAGCTAATTACTGTCTGAGGCTGCATTTGAACTCAGGTGAGAGAGGGACCATTTACTAAGTGCCAGATACTGGTCATCTCTGAGGAAAACTTCCAGAAGAGAAGGAAAGGGTTAGAAAGGCATAAGTAAAGAGGACACTTAAAAATATTTATCTTTTTTTAAAATTTCAATTAAAATTTCAATCAAGTTAAATTAAAATTAATATTTATATTAAAAATAAATTAAATTTCAATTAAAAACAATCCACCTTCTTTACCTTCCTCTAAAGCTTCCTCCCCCAATGAAAAAAAATGCAAAGCTCTTATAACAAATATGTGTAATTGAGCAAATCAGATTCCCAAACTGGCCCTTTCCAAAAATAGTAAACACTTGATGAATGTTTATTGAATTGAATTATTGTTGAATTGAAATTTCCAAGCATTTCCAAATACACCCAAAATCTCATCTGCTAAATTCAATCCATTCCCCAGCCCCACCCTTTCCCATTACCATCATCAAGGAGGTATTTCATTTGCTTCCCCTTCCTCAGACTTCCCTTAGGCTACGTGTCAACCTTGGGGTAAGGAGAACACTTTGACAAGGAGGGTCACCTCTTCCTTGAGGAATGGAACAAAGTTGTTGAGAATGGGTAAAGATGTAGAGAGACTTGATTTGTGGAGTTTGGTAGATGATCACCCTGTGAATGAAAGCCTACATTTTCTGTCTAAAGTAGAAGGTGAGGACATCTGACTGGGAGGCACCAGGCGGAGAATTGGTTGTTGGAGGTTTGCAGAGTGGAGGTGGTTTGGGGCAGCTGATGAGCAGAGTGGGATAGAGCCTGTCAGGGAAGAGTAAAAGAAGGAGTGAGGGCAGAGTTGAGATTAGATAATGCATGTTTGCAGCGAGTCCAGTTGGCACGGCCGTCTGACTTCCTCTGGCTTCATTTGGCAGCTAAGGAGAATGAACAGAGAAGGCATGGTGGAGATAACACAGGGCTGAGGATGGGCAGGGTGTGGAGGGCAATAGGACCCGAGGGATTTCAGCTGGACTTGTCAACTATAGGGTCAAGATTTCAAAGAGGAACGTGAAGCTGGAATAGATAGGTGACTGGATTAGGAAAACTGGTAGATGGAGGGACTGGAAATCACAGTGAGGATAAAAAAATGTTAGTGGATAGAGCACCGGCCCTGAAGTCAGGAGGACCTGAGTTCAAATCCGGCCTCAGACCAAACACTTGACACGTACTAGCTGTGTGACCCTGGGCAAGTCACTTAACCCCAATTGCCTTAAAAAAAATAAAAATAAAAAAATGTTCAGGAGTAAGGCCTAGGGAGAAATGAAAGGATGGGAGATTATGATCAGAAAAGAGAGTTTCAGAATTTAAGGTCATAAAGGTGATGGTTATTTGTGTAACTACCTAAACGAAAGTAGTATTTACCCTTTTCAGTAAGGTGGTAGCTACTATTCCACCAGAGGAAGAGTTGGTGAATGTACAGGACATCAATGAACTGTGAGGCCAGGGTGCTGAAAGTACATTGAATTCCCCAAGTATGAAGGTAGGGGAGGGGTGATCTAGGGAAGTTTGGAGGCAGAGGCTGATCTCCTTGAGAGAACAGGGAACATGACCCAGTATAAGGCCAGTAGGCAGCAACAGCAACAAGAAAATCTTTCCAGGGTGATATAGATGTAGGGAAACGCTGATGCATCACCCTCCCAGGCACTGACCTGTCCCTACCCTCCCCACACTCCATGTCCATGCTGACGCCCTGTAAAGCTGGTCACTTTGGGGACAAATCCCCATCTGCCCTGCCCTGGTTAGCTATCTCTTTGGCTGTGACAGGAAGAAAAACATCACACACTCAGTGTAGGTCACTGCAGAATTTTCCTCGTCCTCCATTCTTTCTGCATGAGAGGTCCAAAGGCTTTTTTTCTTCTTGGTAGTTCTGGCTAAAAAGCTCACAGTGATTAGTGTATGTGTATAGGATGCCTACTGACATAGTTACATACATATATGTATATGTATTCAGGACTTTTTTTTTTTTACCATTCCCTCCCTACCTCTGACCTACAGAGTTTCTGAACCAGAAATGCTAGTAGATTTAGACCTGATTTATTTATTTATTTATTTGCAAATTATTTTTATTCCAAACCATATGAAATAGGCATTTCCATATTCATAGTAGAAGAGGATTATACACATACATACCATAGTGAAAGAGGGATGATACACATACCTGCCGATCACTGTTATTTACAGCTTGCTTATAAGTTCAGCCTGTAGAGGAAAATGAGAGAGGAGTGAGGAAGACTTAAGCTCAAATCCAGCCTCAGATACTTACTAGCTGTGTGATCCTGGGCAAGTCACTTAACCTCTATTCTCCTCAATTTCCTCATCTATAAAATGGAGATAATAATAGCACGCACCTCCCAGGATTGTTGTAAGGATCAAATAAGATAATAAAGGTAAAGTGCTTAGCACAGTGCCTGGTACATAGTAAACATTATATAAATGTTAGTCATTATTATTGTTGTTATTAAGTGCATTTAAAATTTCTTACATTAAATTTTGTTTTTATAATTAATAATTCTTCCCATCTTTCTTCATTCCTTCACTGAGAAAGTAAAAAAATAAAAAAACCTTGTAACAAATATATATATGAACATAGATTCAACAAGAGTTTGTTAAGCGCCTACTATGTGCCTGGCAGATATGCCAAAACAACAACAATAAAAACCCCTAACCAATAGTCCCTGCTTTCAAGGAACTCACAAGGATAGAGGAGACAACATGCAAATAACTATGTAGAAATAAGATATATACAGGATGAATTAGAAATAATTTTAGAGGGAAAGCACCAGCATTAAGGGAGATCAGGAAAGGCTTTTTGTAAAAAGAGGGATTTTTAAAATCTGGGACTTGGAATTCCAGAGACAGAAACCAGAGAGTTTCAGAGATAAGATTCCCCTGACCCCTCCATGGTTCACCTTCTTGTTAATGCCCTGGCTTATCAACTTTTCAGGGAGCTCAGAATTTAAACTTGTGCCTCAGCCCATGATAAATCCAGTGAGTTTATCGCCTTGAGGGCAGACACCTCCATAGTGCTGGTATCCACCCATTGCAGTGCCTGGCATATAGTGTAGACGAAGGCATATAAGACTAAGGATAGAAGCAGCCTAGCTCGAATGACATCCTCCTTCTGGCTTACTTGTGGCAAAAGTTGAATTTTTTGAGGGTTAGAGGTCCAGCAAGGCCAGAATTTCCCAAGGGTTGTGCAATGCCACCAGCTGCTGAAATGCTAAACAGTCCAAGGTTCTTTAAATACATTTCTTCAGATAACTGGTGATTTCTGAACACGGGAGATGCCCTGCCTGGCCCCAAAGACTTCCAGCAATTTCCCCCCAGCCGGCCCCTCTTACATACTTCACTCTTGTCTGGTCACAAAAGGAACTTGGATTTCCTCTGGCCCCCTGGCCCTGGGCAGCCCTGAGCTGTCTCCCTGGGAGGTGACTGTTGCCTGGTCCTGTGAGCAGGGAGGAGTGGGGATTGTGTAGGAGGGCTGGGGAGAAGGTGGCTTTGTCTGAATTCCTCCTGAAGGCAATTTCCTGTGGCTGGACTGACCTTTTTTCCCTCCCGTTCTTCCCAATTCCTTAAGAGGCCACACTTGTACCACACCTCCCACTCCCACCGCCCCCATCTCTGAGGCAGGAGAGTGACCAGGAAGTGTGGGGGGGGGGGCATTGGGGAATTATTGGGAGAGAAGACAGAGACAGAGAAAGAGACAGACTGAGAGAGTCGGAGAGACAGCCTCAAAGAGAGGGGGATGGAGACAGCGATAGAGAGAGGGCAGGCAGCCAGGCCTCCTCAGGAGTGACCCTTCTCTGTAGTCAATGGGCAGGGGTGTTTGACCCTAACACAGAAAGGCAGGCCCCATAAGGAAGAAGCCCTGGACTCGAGCAGTGGAGAGGAGGGAGTCCTGTTCATTGACGCCCACCCGAGCAGACATAATTCCATAGACACTTCACAACCTCGGTTACCAGCCCCCACCTTTTCTCTATTAGAAAGCTCAGGGAGCCCCCATAGTTCACCCTATTTGAGGGCAGAAGCTTTCATTTTGCTCTTTGTATCCTCAGTGTCTAGAACAGTGCTTGGCACACAGTAGGCATTTCATAAATGAATATTGATTGCCTCTCTTTTTCTCCCTCTGTGTCTTTCTCCAGCTGTCTTCTTCTGTCTCCAACATCTTATTCTTTTTCCTTTTCTTGGACTTTTCCAATTCTCAAAAATGTCTATCTGCAGGGACGCAGGAGCCTAAAACCTAGCCGTGGTGGTGGGGGGAAGAAGGTGTGGGCTCAGTGTTATGCTCACCTCATGATAGGAAGGAAAGAGGGCATCATTGTCCCTTGCCTCAGTTTCCCCATTTTTACTCCTCTAGTTTCAGAAGATTAAGACTGCTTCAAGGGGGATTGAGAGGCCGAGTTCCAGAAATACTACTGAAGTGAGGCCTGATTTATTTATTGTTTTTGAAACAAGAAAAAAATTTTTCTAAACTTCACGACCAAATAAAATCGGCATTTCCATATACATAGTAGAATAGAAAAAGAATAAAGGAAATTGTAGGTCTCTTATGTACAATATGCCTTAATTCTAAAATATAAGTTCAACCTGTAGGTTTTTTGTGTTTCTTATATTTGCATTAACTTTTTAAAAATTAATTTAAAAATTACTTTTTTTGTTGACAAGCCTTTATTTTCTCTTGCTCCTACCTTCCCCTTCTCCAAATGAGAAAGAAAAACTAAAACAAAACCTTGTAACAAATCTGCATTGTCAAACAAAACAAATTCTCACAACGGCCACATCCCCAAAATGTGTGTCTCCTTCTGCACCCTGAGTCCATTGCTTCTCTGTTCAGAGGCAGCTGTCATGCTTCATGGCGGCCTCCAGATTTGTGGCTAGTCATTATATTGATCAGAATTCTTATGTTTTTCAAATCTGTTTGTTTTTTATATTCAACTGGTAACTTTCTTTCTTTTTTTTTTTCTTTTTTAACTGGTAACTTTCAAAGCTGTCTGCTTCTCTGGCCTTCTCTGCCTTCTTTCCCTTCTCGTCTTTGCATTTTTTTGGCCTGATGTAAAGGGCCCTCCTCCTTCATAAAGTCCCAGTGTATGGGGGGCAGAGAGAGTGGGGAAGAGTGGAGCCTCCACACCAGGCTTAGACACTCGTCCACTTGGGAGGCACCTTTGTTTTTCCCCAGTGGCCCAAGGTAAAGCGTGAGCGTCCTGTGGGGCCGGCTTGGCTGCCATCAGCTTAACCCTTTGTGAAAGGTCATGGCAGCTCAGTCCATTTATTTTTAAATAATTAAAAGAAAGGCCAACTAGTAGAGACATGGTGGCAACCTGGAGCTCCCCTGCATCCCCCAAGAATGTTGGCTTATGCTCCCTTCCTAAGAGAGCCGGGAAAACAGGACCAAGGGAACCAAGGGGTTCTTGGCCTGGGGGCAAAGGAAGAAAAAGACCCTGTTCCCCTCTTTTGGGCCCCTTTGTCTCCCTACTGGAAAGCCCCAGCTGGGCATGGGAGAGGGAATGAATGAGGAACTACAAAGCTGAAGCTTGTTCTCAGGGTAGGGCAGGGCAGCGTAAGTAAGAGGGCAGCAGGAGGAGTGTGGGGATGTCTTCATGGCCCTGGGACCAGATGTGTGATAAGGATGGAGATCTGAAGGTAGAAAAAATATTCCACTTTTCCAGACACTGTGCAAAGGCAAACTGAGGCACTTCCCCCCCCCCCAAAGAAAAATAAAAAAGAAAACTCCATGATTGTGCTATATTCCTTTGCTCCAGAGACAGCATGGCTCTTCCAACGTAGAACTGACTTACCATCTAAGAATTTTCTGAAACGCTGAAATGTTAAGTGACTTGGCTATGATCATACAAATATGTGTTCCAGAGGCGAGACTTGAACCCAGCTCTTCCTAACACAAAGGGCTACAACACTCTAGCCACAATACCATCCTGCCTCTCTAGTCTTGGTATCACACTCCTGAACTCTCCAACAGCCCCATCCAGCTAGCTTGGGCCAATTATGACGTGGCTTCTACACTGTCAGCCACCTGAAGACATTCCCACAATGCTTAACACAGGGCATGGACCCACGATGGACACTGGATAAGGAATGAGTGATTGGCAACTAGGTTTCCAAAAACCCAACCTGAAAGGAATTCTGATTCTTACCTGCGGTCAACCAGCCCTGCCTTGAGATCACCATCCCTGTCTCTTAAGACACAAAGTCTGGTTCCTTACTAGCTCATTTCCTCACAATACCTCCAGCAAGGCTAGATGGAATAGGTATCAGAGGAAAGAAGGAAACAGGCATTTATTAAGCACCTACTATGTGCCAGGCATTGTGCTAAGCACTTTATAAATATCTCATTTGATCCTCACCACAACTCAAGAAGACCTAAATTACTAGCTCTGTGACCCTGGGCAAGTCATTTAATCCTCTTTGCCTCAGTTTCCTCATCTGTAAAATGAGCTGGAGAAGGAAATGGCAAACCACTCCAGATTCTCTGCCAAGAAAACCCCAGATGGGGTCACAAAGAATCGGACACGAGTGAGATGACTGAACCACCACCGCCACCACTACAGCCACCGCCACCGCCCTGGGAGGTAGGTGCTATTATCAGACCCACTTTTGTTGTTGTTCAGTTGTTCAGTCTCATCTGTAAAAGGAGGGCGTTGGACTAGAAGCCCTGTAGAGTCCTTTCCAGATCTAAACCTATTACCCCATTTGGCAGATCGGGAAACTGAGAGATGAAGTAACTTGCCCAAGGTCTGACAGCTAATAAAAGCAGCCCAGAGAACTGAGCCTCGACCTCCTGACACCAAGGCAGGGCTCCTGCCCTGATACGATCCTGGCTCATCCAGGGATTTCTTTGGCCAGCCCACACTGGTTTTTCATACAGTCAGGATGCATGGGAGTCAGCTCGATACCAGCAACTGTTAACTTTTCATTGTGAGCATTCACACCTCAGGAATCACAAAAGCTACAAATCAGGGCTTGATTTATTGTTTTGTTGATTGTCTAGACTTCAGAGAGCCATGGAGAAAATGTTCATTATTCAGAGTAAATGTAGAAGTGTGTCATGTCTTCTCAGAGAGCTGGTTGTTAAACATAGCACACGCCCTGTATAGTCCGCCAGTTCCCCAAATCAATACCCCTGGGGTCAAGCAAGCCCTCCATTGAAGGAGGTTTTGAACTTTGAGGTCCCTTCCAACTCATGG